CCGACAAACCGACAAACCAAGTTACTGCTTTATATATAAGAAGGATCACTGGAATCCAATAATCTTTTGTTAACATTTGAAACAAACAACATCTATTAACTTTTACGTAATTATTCTATAAGATTTTTTCCAGGCATGCGCTTCCTCTCTCAACTACACGCCATATGTTAGTACCCACCTGCTTTGTGCTAGCTGATGTAGGGTCCTGTACAATATCAAAGTCGTACGGCGTGTCATCATCGTGAACTTGACCAAAGATTTTGTATAATGATAGCAACTTCACAAATAACCTCCGAAAGTCCAGCTTAAGGGAAAGAACTACATCAAGGATACACCAAAGCAGCAAAATTACTCAGTGGTAAGGATAGATCAGAATAACTGCTCACAATCGAAGAAGTAGCTCCGCCACGCTTGCCATTAAGTAGGAGATAGCCGTCATGAAGCATCACCTTAGCAACTGGCATTTCTTGTGCTCGACGAACTACTCTCCAGTATTCAGCGAGCCTGAGTATGCACAATATCCTATAAACTTCAGTATCAGAGGTACAAGATTTGATTTTATCCTTGAAGCATTGTTATTTACATTAAGGAATACTGCCGGATACACCGAATAAGTGGAAAATCCGAAACAGTAGCGGAAAGTAAGTAAGAGTGCCTGATACAAGATGAAAGTACTCACGGAAGAGGCAATATGCTCTCGTCGAAGGTCAGCTTGCGGAGTTTGATCTAAACATTTCTGGTCATTATTATATCTCAGCTTGCAGAGTTTGATCAGTGGGTGTGTGAATGTGTGTGTTTGACAGGGAATTCATAAGTCAAATAAAAACAAAGCTAACTAACTAACTAACTTAAGTTCAAATATGGTAGGAGCACAGGGGGCAAGACTGGAATACTTGCGGTGGGTGGCAGGATAGGACTCCTCTCGCAGGGTACGGGGTTTGCGCGTGTTTGAGCGGATGAATGTTTTAGCGATAATCATAACCCTTTTCCCGTGGACCTAGAGCGCTTATTTTTTGTAGGAATACTAGGACAGGATGGGAACATTCATGGTAGATGGCAAGTCTTGATTCCGTCCACTTGAGGCGGGGCTAGCGCAAAATAAATGTTCGAGCGGAAATTCGAAACTTCTGCTCCCGCGGACTTGGAGAGTTCAAAATTGGTAGGAGTAGAGGAGGCAGGATGGGAACACTGACAGCACGATGGGAATACAGACGATATAAGAAGCCTCAGAAAAGAGTCACCCTCTAATTAAATCCTATTGCCTTTCTTATATGCGATCTACAGGGTGGCTGAAAAGTATAGGACGCCACATTTGTAAGCGTAACTTCAAAGATAGAGACCAGAGAGACAAATAAACTCAATGTGGAATAGAGTAGACTACAATATCACTTAGGACAGCAGGCGTTCGAAGTTCGATCCTTTTGCTCTTCACAGGCCTTCAGACTCTCGATGACTGAATCGACCGTACGCCGCAGGCAGTCGACGTCAATATCGTCTCTCGCCTTCTGAAGCGCCAACTTCTGAGCGTCAAACGTGCG